GTAACACCCTCTTGGGGCTCCGTGGTTGCTGGCATCTTTGAGTTTTCAGGTGCAATGGCATTCCCCTGTTGGGATGCTGGTGCCCAAGGTGGAAGCCACCTGAGGTATGCCTAGTCCAGCCTCAGCCTCACATGGTGCCAGCACCTGGAGCTGCCCACCCCTCTGCAGCAGCTGGCATGCCTGGCTGTGTGCTGTGGCTGGACCCTGTGCTCACTCACACACCTCCCACCATGCCTGGCTCACCCAAGATGGGCATGAGATCTGGGCCAGTAATGCAAGCTGAGGACAGCCTGCCAGGCTGAGTAGGCAGAGCTAGGCCAGCAGTTGCGAGCAAAACTTGGGCAGAGGCGCCACTGGTCACAGAGGTTTCTGTCTAAGGAAGCGGCCGCAGAAGAATCCCGTGTGACTTTGTTCATCTCAGCTACTCATTCTGTGGCTATATCTCAGACTAGCCTTTGGGATTCCCAACAACTGTGCCTCCTACAATCCTCAATTTCAAGCAGTTCTCTGACCACCACCTCCTATTTTTCCAGCTCACTACTTCTAGTCCCCCAAGTCCAATAACTCTTTAATTGGCCAGGATCTGAATCTACCATCCTCTCACTTCCTCTGGTCCCCTCTTCCCTCCTGGAGCAGCCTCATGCCACCGTTAGTCATAATAAGCACCTTCTCACATTTGTAATGCCCTCAGCCTGCTCTATTCTTTACACTCTCCTGGCAAAACCTTAACGCTGATGAGAAATAATTCTTCACTCTGCACCTGCACTCGTGCAGCTGAACATCTCTGGAGAAAACACACAGCCAGAGTGACTGGTTTTAGATTCAGACCATGAACTTCACGTGTTCCTCAGAGCTGCCTGGCAGGCAGAAAACCTTCCCCAAGCACACTGCTCCCTCTTTCTTCTTTCTTCTAGAACTCTTTCCACCTCTGTCCTCATCATTTTTTTTTTTTTTTTTTTTTTGAGACGAAGTCTCACTGTCACTCAGGCTGGAGGGTAGTAGTGTGATTACAGATCACTGAAGCCTTGACCTCTGGGCTTAAGGGATCCTCCTGCCTTAGCCTCCCAAGTATCTGGGACTACAGGCACATGCCACTACACCTGGCTAATTTTTTAAACTATTTTGTGGAGACAGAATCTCACCATATTGCCTAGGCTGGTCTTGAACTGCTGGGTTCAAGCAATCTTCCGGCCTTGGCTTCCCAAAGTGCTAGGATTACAGACATGAGCTGCTAAACCCAGCCTCAGCTTCTTATTTCAGAGAAATCTGTAAAGAAGTAATCAGATGAGAAACTGGCAAACACCTGCAAGTCTTCACTCCCGGCTTTGGTGCCCCTGCCCTTGGCTGTCCCTCCTGTTGGGTGAATGAGCTGCCTAGCTCCTCCCTGAAGCTGCCTCCCCTTGTGCTCCAGAGCCCACTCCCTGATTCCTACCCACAGGTTTCACTGCGGCAACTCTATCTTGCATCATCAAGTTTTCTCTTTCTTTCGGTAACTTATGTCAGTATACACACCTGCTGTTATTTCTGCTATCTTAAAAAAAGACTTTTCGCTGAGCACGGTGGCTCATGCCTGTAATCCCAGCACTTTGGGAGGCCGCGGTGGGAGGATCATGAGGTCAAGAGATCGAGACCATCCTGGCCAACATGGTGAAACCCCATCTCTACTGAAAATTCAAAAAATTAGTTGGGTGTGGTGGCGCGCGCCTGTAGTCCCAGCTACTCGGGAGGCTGAAGAAGGAGAATTGCTTGAACCCGGGAGGCAGAGTTTGCAGTGAGCTGAGATCACGCCACTGCATTCCAGCCTGGCGCCTGGTGAGAGAGCAAGACTGTCTCAAAAAAAAAAAAAAAGATTTTTTTCTTACAAAAAGATTTTTGTGAGTGTGTGGCATGGTAGGCTTAAAGTAGCAGGGTCCCGCCCATCTAACATGCTGTAATAAATGTGTTGGGGGCTGAGGACCTGTGCTTAGCTACTCCAGGAGTCCTGGATGCCCATCCTCCCTCCTGCTGCTTCTCTACCCCCCTGCCACCCCACGAAGCTCTTCATATCCTGTCCAATTCTGCCCTTTGTTCCTTTTCCTTTGGTTGACACCTCCAGGACTTCAGAGTGTTCCCTATGTTCTCACCAAACAGCTGCCAGCCAGCCAGGCTTGGTTTTCCAAGTGGGCTTTCCTGTACTTTATGTTCATATCATGCTGTCCCCAGGCAGCCCAAGCAGGACGAACAGCGGGAGAGGTCCTGGAAGAGCCTCCCGATCTTCCCTCAGCTTTACTTTTCTTTTTTTTGTCAGAGCACATGATTTCAGAGCTTCAGGGACGAGGCAGCTTTGTGAGAAGCATATGCAAGAAGGGACAGATTTCTGACATTTCCATAAAAGCACAAAGCCTTGTTTTGTTCAGAATCAAAGTTGGAAAAGTAGCTGGTGGGTAAGAGGTAATTCATGACATGAGCATGGGGTAATTAGCTTGATTCCATCAGCATGAGGTGGAACTGAGTTACCCAAACTAGATGTCAGCTCAGCCCAGCCACCACCCACCCACACCATCTGCACTCAATAAGCATTTATCTGTTGGAGGTTTTTCTGCACATTGCAAGATCGCTGTCAGAATCTGCATCCCAGTTCTGATAATGCTGTGGCTAGAGCCACAGCCTCACAGCTTCCCTTCTTCACCTCTAATCTTGCTTATTCCTGCCTCCACTTGACCTCTGTGGTCCCCTTCCCAGCCATCACCTAGAGGTGATGCATGTGGCTGACACAGCGAACTCTGAGGGCTGGTTTCACATTTCTACATCTTTTTTTTTTTCTTTGAGACGGAGTCTCGTACTGTCGCCTGAGCTGAAGTACAGTGGCATGATCTCGGCTCAATGCAACCTGTGCCTCCTGGGTTCCAGCGATTGTCCTGCCTCAGCCTCCCAAGTAGCTTGGATTACAGGTACCTGCCACCACGCCCAGCTAATTTTTTGCATTTTTAGTAGAGATAGGGTTTCACTGTGTTGGCCAGTCTGGTCTCAAACTCCTGACCTCGTGATCGGCCTGCATTGGCCTTCCAAGTGCTGGGATTACAGGTGTGAGCCACCACATCCGGCCTCTGCATCCTAATTCTTTAGCAGCAGAGCTTTTTTGTGACTTTATCCTTAAAACAACAACATTGCTCTCCATTCATTAACTTATTGGGGATAAAAAGAGTCAGAGGTGAGGTGATCTGAGATTCTTCTATTAAATGACTTGGGGCTTCAGCTAAATCGTTGTTTCTTTATCTATCACTTGGCAGTAACAACAGAGGCCGAACCTCCATAGGGAGCTGTTATAACAACATAAAAATCCCCAAGGGGTACCTATGACGTTGGTTTCATGTGTCAAGTTAGCCGAGCTATAGTATCCAGTCATCTTATCAGGCACTTCTTTAGGGGGTGTCGTGAAGGCATTTTATACATGGGGTTAACATCTACACCCAGTCCACTTTCAATTAACAAGATTACCCTTGGTGATATGGTTGGGGCTCACCCACTTAGCTGAAGGCCATAAGAACGGAACTGAGGTTTCTGGGAGGAGAAACTGTTTCAAGACTGCAGTGCCAATACCTGCCCGAGTTTCCAGCCTCCTGACCTGCCCTACAGATTTCAGACGTGCAGTCCCCATACACAGATGAACGAATTTCTTAAAACATGTCTTGATGACTCTGCATCCTATTGGTGCTGTTTCTCTGCAGAACTCTGACTGCTACAGTACTGACCGATAGCTAGAAGAAGGTACCTTTCTGTTACAAGTCCTCAGTGGGGAGGAGGGTGACTGAGAACCGCGTGAAGGTAGCTTTACGCAATAAATCCATCCTGGGCTATGCCAATATCCAAGGCTGCAGGAAAGAAGCAAGAGGGCTATTGGGCTGGGGACTAGAGGTGGGGACATCACCCCAGCACCAGGTTGTGGGGGGAAGGGACACTTCCACATCCTGCTGAGGTCCTCTCTGACCAGGGGCCGCTGGCAGGTATGGCTCGAGGAATGAAGTCACAGCCTTGGACTAAATAGGATCAGGACAGAGCTTGGTACAAAGAGAGAGGTGCTGGCTAGCACTGGCACACGTTGCTTGAGGACCTACTATGTGCAGGCCCCTCTGAAAATCTGCATTTCTTCTTTCTCATGCAGCTGGCTTGGTGAGCCACTGGGAGTGGCCGGCCTGAGTTCCTGCATTCCTCTCTTACCAGCAGGAGTTCAGGCTGCCCCTGAGCACAAAGGCCCTCCCTGCCCAGCTCCTGGAGAGCCTTCATCTGCCCACTTGGTGCGGTGACGTGTATGCTGTGAAGGGCTGGCGAAGCTCCTATCCCTGCACACCCCCAGGGGAAGTCCTTGAGTGTGGGCTCATGCATCTAAGGGCCACTTTGGAGTCACACAGGACTGGGTCTGTGTCCTAAGACTTAGCCTACGTTTCAGGCCCTCTCTAGGAGATGACACAGCCCAAGGCTTTAGGAGGGCTTCAGTGGAGGGGAGGGGCTGTTATGATGCCTTGAAAACTGTGAAGAGCCATGCATGCCCATTCTTCCTGCACACCCTGCATTAGTCTGGGTTCTCCAGAGAAACAGAACCAATAAGATGTGTATGTATGTAAATACAGAGAAAGAGAGAGATGAAGTATTTATTTTAAGGAAGGGACCCATGCAGTTGTGGAGATACAGGTCTAAAAATATGCAGGGTTGGCCAGAAGGCTGGGAAGAGCAGCAGTTCAAGTCCAAAGTTGGACTGTTGGCAGGATTCCCACTTCCTCCTGGGAGGTCAGTCTCTTTCAATTCAGGCCTTCAACTGATAGGAAGCATTGTGGAGGAGAGGATCATCTGCTTTACTCGAAGTCTCCTGATTTAAATGTTAACTTCATTAACAATACCTTCACAGAAACATCTAGAATAATGTTTGACCAAATTTCTGGGTACCACGGACTAGCCAAGTTGACATATAAAATTCACCCTCACCCCAAGTGTCCAATCCCAGGGACAGGTATGTACCCTTCGCCCAGAAGCCTCACAGAAAGCCCTCAGAAAAATGCCTGGGACCTCACTGCAGCTCCCATTCAGGTGACTTTATTACCAGGAGCAGCAGATATACCTGGTTCCACCCAGCTGTCCTGTAGCACAGGGTTGAGGTCGGCACTGCCCCTGGCTCTCAGAGTGTGCAGGATGAACAGGTGGGCTCTGGAACTCTCTAGAACCCATCAGGGCAATGCCCTGTGCCCAGGACATGCTGAAAGTACCTGGCATTATGTCACCTCCAAGGACAGACCCTGCCTGTCCTCCTTGAAGTGCCCATGGCCTGGGCCCCAGCTGTGCTCCTACCTCCCTAATAGGAGCACAATAGCAGCAGGCCAGCCCTTTATGCCAAACAGCCCCGAGAGACCAACACGAGGCCATGCTTCTCTTATACATTATAATAATCAGAAAATCATCAAAATGCTTCTGGAACAACCCACTCCAAAGAGTCCTGGAGGCCAAGGCACATGCAACCTTAGCTGCCAGCATTCAACCTTGGGAACTGCCCACCTCATTCAGTCCCTCCCGTGCCAGCCCCGCTTCTGTGTTACAAATCTTCATCGTCAAAGGTCTCCGTGCACTGCAACATGATCATCTCTTCATCAACAGGAAAGGATGCCTCCTACAAGACACAGGGTGGAAGAGGTTCACTTTTTATCTGTGGGTCTCGGGCCCCAGGCAGATAGAAAGGCTCCTGCGGCTCTGGTGTGTCCAACCCCCAGACTACCCTACGTCTCTTCAGCTGCATTTTCATCTCCAGCTTCCCACTTCCTTCTAAGTGGGAAGGTACCGTTTCCATTTCACTGTCTTCATCACTCTATGACCTCCAGAAAAGACAGAGCAGAACTGGCTACTTTTTTATCCTGGGGATTTCCAGGGTCCCATAAGAGAGGCAGAGGATGTCATAAGGCTTTACCCAAGTGCTCATCAATAGAAGACAGTGCACTGCACCACGGTGCTCCCACCAATGAAACACCGTGCAGCTGGTTTCCAACAAAAATAATGAGACAGTGCTCTATCTATGGGATGTACTATTTACAAAAGGCAAAGTGCAAAGAAAGCAATGTGTATCATAGGCTACTATTTGTGTTCGAAAGAATATATGAGTATCTGCAGAGTATGTTTGGATGAGTGCACAAGAAACTGGTCACTTCAGTTGCCTCTGGGGGAAGGTATGGGGTAGGAAGCAAGGGAGAGAGAAGACTAAGTATCCATTGTATATCTTTTGGTAACTTGTAAATTTTATGCCATGTACGTAGGTTATCTATTACGAGATGATTCTTTTTTAAGCAGCAACACTGCAGCTGGGCATGGTGGCTCATGCTGGCTAGCAATGGCACATATTGCTTGAGGACCTACTATGTGCAGGCCCTTCTGAAAATCTGCATTTCTTCTTTCCCATGCAGCTGGCTTGGTGAGCTAGGTGAACTCCTGCATTCCTCTCTTACCAGCAGGAGTTCAGGCTGCCCCTGGGCACAAAGGCCCTCCCTGCCGAGTTCCTGGAGATCCCAGCACTTGGGAGATCCTGTAATCCCAGCACTTAGGGAGGGCAAGGCAGGCAGATCACCTGAGGTTAGGAGTTCGAGACCAGCCTGGCCAACATGGTGAATCCTCGTTTGTACTAAAAATAAAAAAATTTTAAAAAAGCCAACCGTGGTGATGTGCACCTGTAATCCCAGCTATCCTGGAGGCTGAGGCACAAGAATCGCTTGAACCCAGGAGGTAGAGGTTGCAGTGAGCCAAGATCATGCCATGACTGCACGCTAGCCTGGGTAAAAAAATAGAGGCAGCACTGTTTGCTTAGCAAGGGTTTCTCAGTCCTTAAAGGGACACTGTAAACAGTGATCCCAGCCAACCCCTGGGACTCTCCATGACCTTGTTCCCTACAAGTATGTTCCTGGGGGTTTTCTCTTCCTGTTTCTCTCCATCCCAGCAGAAAATGACCCCTGTAACTTAGCAGCTCTGCAGATCAGGGTTGATCCCCATGGGCCTAGGCGGCACCCCTGACCCCAGTCAACCATCTAATGACTGTGGGACCTGGTCCCAAGGCTGACATCCTGATAGTGGGGCCGACCTCCACACACTGAGGCTTTCCTGCCCTGGAGAAGCAGTTTCCATTCACCATGCTCTCCTGATAGGGGCAGGAAAATAGGGATCAAGAGTGCCAGGGAGGTGGGACCACAGTGTCCGGGCAAATCATGTGGGCCCTTTGTTTAGTGGGAAGACGATAGCAGAGTTGAGAAGAGAATGAAACTTTTCTGTTTACACCAGAGTCTATCAAAGCCTGAGTCCTCCTACCTCAGAGCCACTTGGACAGGTCATTCAAAATGCAGATGCCTGGGCCCTGCTCTTGCAACACTGAGGCATCAGGAATCTAGGAGTACTGAAGTCTGGCATCTTTGCTTTCTTTTGTTGTTGTTGTTTTGAGAGAGTCTCACTCTGTTGCGCAGGCTGGAGTACAGTGGCACGATCTCAGCTCACAGTAACCTCTACCTTGTAGGCTCAAACGATCCTCCCAACTCAGCCTCCCGAGTAGCTGGGACTACAGGTATGCACCACCACACCTGGCTCATTTTTGTATTTTTTGTAATGATGAGGTTTTGCCATGTTGTCCAGACTGGTCTTGAAATCCTGGGCTCAAGTGATCTGCCCACCTCAGCCTGCTGGCAAGAGCCACTATGCCCAGCCACACCTTTGCTTTGTATGGATACTAGAATCCCTGCTTATTATATTTTCTACCATAGGTGGAGAAGGAGGGAAAGCAAAGATTGTCTTTTTTGTCTATTCTCAAAGTCTTGGTAAGTTAGGCTAATTTAACTGTATCTGAGAGAAAGAGGGGACAACTGCTGCAGGGGACAGTCACCCAAGGATTGGTGGGAAGGGGAATGCAAACTGCAGGGACGGGCTCCTACTCCACGTGAGGATTCGCTGTGGTCCCAGCAGTGGGAAATGAAGACTTAGCTGGAAGAGGACTAAGTACTGAAGAGATGTCCTGACTATGTTTAGACAAACATTTACTATTATTATAACTTACCTTTTAAATAGTTGTATTTTTGCTAAATTAGTAAAGACAAATCCCTGGCTATGAATCTGAAAGGGCCTGTCCCCTTGGTGGCTCAGGCGTAACCCCCCTTCCGTGACAAAAGCGTCCAGAAATGGTCGTCCTAACCAGGACTTCCACTACTCATGGCACCCTACGTGGAACAATTTGGAAACAGACATTAATATCCTTCAAAAGCTGACAGCAAATATTACTGAAGATGATGAAGATTACAGAAGATGAGGAAACAGCTCAGCGTTTTGGAAGAGTGTCAAGGGTTCACACCATGAACATTTATGAATGCCTGCTGAGAGTCAGGTCCCTGGGATCTGGTCCCTGCTTCAAAAGGTTCCTGGTCCAGGGCTGCCCTAGAGCAGTGCTTCCCAACCTTTATGGCACCAGGAACCAGTTTCCTGGAAGACGATTTTTCCACAGAGGAGGGATGGTTTCAGGATGAAACGTTCCACCTCGATCATCAGACACTAGTTAGATTCTCATAAGGAGTGCGTAACTTAGACCCTTTGCATGAGCAGTTCACTATGGGTCTGTGTTCCTGTGAGAATTGAATGCCGCCGCCGATCTGATAGGAGGTGGAGCTCAGGCGGTCATGCTCACCTTCTGCTGTGCAGCCCTGTTCCTAGCAACCATGGATGTGTACTGGTCTGTGGCCTAGGGGTTGGGGACCACTGCCCTAGAGGACACTGCTCTGTCTTTCCTGGTTCCCTGGAAATCTTCCATTCATTCTACAGGATGCATCAGGCTGAAGGTGACCATCCATGAAGCAAGCCAGAGAGAATGAGTGTCTCTGCCCAGTGGCCCCTCATGGTATGATTGGGGTGAGGTCAGGTGAGGGCTGCCCATGGCCCTTTTTGCTATCTAAGGGAGCTGGGCAGAGGTACCACAGCCCTCTACTCTGTCCTACCTGTTTTACTCGAGTGTTGGCACAGCCAAGACCTTTAAAAAAGTCGATAATCTGCATATAGAGCTGAAACTTTTCCTCTGGGTTTTCTGGGTTGGAGCTGGCAAGCATTGAACTGACAACAGAAAGGAAGAAGAGAAAATAAATATTCAGGATCCTGATCTTTCAACTCTGCCTCCCGCTCCCCTGAAAGATTTGTGTTACAATGTGAACCAAGCACTTGTAAATTCTGACAGCCCAGACCTGTCCTTGAAAGGTTTGTGTTGCCTCTGCTCACATATCAAGTCTGGAATCCTCTGGAAAATTGAGACAGTGGTGAGACTGGCTCCTGTGCCCCAATTTAGTGTTCTGAGCTGTGGCTTCTGGAACAAGGGAACAAGAGTTCCTCTATCCCTCAGTCAACCTCCTGCAGAATGCCCCACGGCTCTGGTTCCACTGTGGCTGCTGAGGCAGCTCTGGAGCACGTGGTGCGCCTTGAGTTCATTCCCCTGAGTTGCCTCTGCTGTGAGGGTCTAATGTGGAACTCAGGCCCTGGTGCAGAAAGGAGGCCTGTTGTGCAGGCTCTTTTCCTCCTGCCTGCCTGGAACAAGGGGAGAAGCCCTGTGTGACTCAAGCTTATGTCACCACAAGCAGCACAGTTTGGAAGCAGACATTAAAATCCTTGAAAAGCTGCGGGGCCTTAGAAGATGATGAGACAGCTTAGCCTTTTGGAAAGGTGGTGGGGGCTCATGCAACATTTAGGGATGCCTGCTAAGAGCCAGGGCCCTGCAATGTGGTCCCTGCTTCAGAGGGCTCCTTAGAGCACAGAGACTGTGCGTCTGTAGGACAGCTGCACTCACTTTCTGTGAGTCAGTAGGCAGCCCTCACTTCTTCCCGGGATGAGGTCCTGCAGTCCGCTTAGGAACCCCCTGGCAGCAACCTCTGACTTTTCTAGGGGAAGTAGGACATTTTTAATAGGTTGTTTTCCTGTTCCATCAGCAGGGCAGGGAGTTCTGAATATTGCTTGGCAAGGACAGGCTGGCAGCTTCTCCATGGTTGTCTGAAGCCCAAGCTGAGCACAGAAACAGGAATGTCCCTTCCAGCCAATTGCAGCACAATGTAACCCCACTCACAGCTGAGAAGCGCTTGAGTCACTCTGGAAGGTCGATTTGGAGAGGACAAAGCCCTCCTCTGTCAACCCCACTTGTCCGTAAGTCCATCTAGGCCTGGGTGGCACAGGAAGAGTGGAGCCAAAATGCTGACGTATGGTTTGCCTGAAGCTCTGCTGAAAGGCCAGCTGGGTTACTAGGGACAGCTGTGGCCCCAAGGCCTCACAGGCACCCATAGGCCAGGCTCCCTTTGAGAGGACAATAGGGATATTCACTGGGATCACAGGGATATGTCACTATCACTCCCAAGGCAGAAAAATGAAATGTCCAGGGTTCTTTTTAGCCACAACAGCAGCACAGATATCTGAAGAACCTGTGCCTTCAGGCCCTAAGACCACAGCTTTTTCAAGCAAAGCAGCAAGGGAATTTCAGTCCTAAATGATTTCTCTTTCAGAAAACACTCCTTTGGGACATGGTTAGTCAAGCTACTAATTGTTTTAAAATCTTTTCACATCCTATTTTGTGTCTTCCCACTTCATGGGGTCAGCGATCCTTTTCTCCCCTCCTTCCTATCCATTCTTATCAGGGAGTCCCCTAAACTCAGGGCCCAGGCCTGTTTGCATGTTGGCCTTATTCTCCGTGTCCCAGAGCCCCCTCCCTGCCTTCTCCTTCCAGATTGGCTGGGAGAACCTACCCACAAGCTGACCTGGGTGCTGCAGACTGAAAGTTTGTGTTCTTCCAAAATTTATGTGCTGAAACCTAACTCCCAAGGTGATGGTGTTAGGAGGAAGGGCCTCCGGGAGATCATGGATTAGGGCATGAAGGTGGGCCCCTCATGATGTGATTAGTGCCCTTATAAAATAGGCCCCAGAGCCAGGCACTGTGGCTCACACCTGTAACCCTAGCACTTTGGGAGGCCAAGGCAGGTGGATCACCTGAGGTCAGGAGTTTGAGACCAGCCTGGCCAACACGGCAAAACCCTGTCTCTACTAAAAATACAAAAATTAGCTGAGCATGGTGGCGTATGCCTGTAATCCCAGCTACTTGGGAAGCTGAGGCAGGAGAATCGCATGAACCCATGAGGCAGAGGTTGCAGTGAGCCTAGATTGTGCCACTACACTCCAGCCTGGGTGACAGAGTGAGACTCCATCTTAAAAAAAAAATTAAAAATAAAGAAACAGGCTCCAGAGAGATGTCTTGCCTCTTCACCACGTGAGGTTTTATCCAGAAGGTGCCCTCTGTGAAAAAATGAGGCTCTGACTCTGCTGGGACCTTGATCATGGACTCCCCAACCTCCAGAACTGTGAGAAATACATTTCTGTTGTTTATAAGCCACCCGGTCTATGGCATTTAGTATTAATGGACTTAAGGCAGGGATATAGCAGCCCTCAGCAGAGGTCAGCAGGGCTAACACATACTGGGAATAGGGTGCAAAGAGAACAGATGCACACCCTGCGGCTGATAGCCTGGTGTGTCCCAGCCCTGCGCCAGGATGTGACTCCTCTTGCTAAATAAGGTAGGAGCTCATGTGTGAGATGCAATTACCAGAACCTCAGTTTACCACTGAGAAAAAGCTCATCAAAACCTCCCAAGGTGGACAGATTACTGGAGCCCAGGGTCCATAGTCTAGCAGTCTCATGCCAGGGCAGCTGCATCCAGAGGGTCAGAAAGACTCTGGCTTAGGCTGCAGGCAGGCCAACTCCCAGCTCTGCTCCTCGCTAGCTGTGTGGCCTGTGACAAGTTACTTCCTCTCATAAATTCTCCTCTATAAAACAGGAATCACATCAGTGTCTACTCATAGAGCTATTCCAAGAATTAAGTAAGATAATGTGTGTGAATTTTCTGCTCTGAAGACGCACAGATAATGTCATCCCCAGGGCAATAACACAGTCCTAGGGCCAGCTCACTTCCAGTCACAGAAAAAAAAGCGGATCCCTAAGAACACCCACTGAATTAGGTACCTGATCTGAGTTTGACTCTGTGTCCCCACTCAAATCTCCGGTGGAATTATAATCCCCATGTTTTGAAGGAGGGGCCTGGTGGGGGGTGATTGAACCATGGAGGTGGGTGTCCCCCTTGCTATTCTCATGACAGAATTCTCACAACATCTGCTTGTTTGAAAAGTGTGTAGCACTTTCCCCTTCACTCTCTCTCGTGTCACCATGTGAGGCTATACAGGTTTCCCCTTTGCCTTCTGCCATGATTGTAAGTTTCCTGAAGCCTCCCCAGCCATGCCTCTTGTACAGCCTGTGGAACTGTGAGTCATTTAAACCTCTCTTTATAAATTACCCAGTCTCAGGTAGTTCTTTATAGCAGTGTGAGAATAGGCTAATACAACACCCATCTAGAGGCTGCATAGGAGAGGCTCTGGAACACCCCAGCAGGAGTACATACACACACATACTCTGACAGACTAATCACATTCATGCACATGCAAACTCACACCCCCCACACACAGTCTCACACCCATCCACCATGGGTGCATGCTATCTCACACCCTCTTCCTCACCTGGAGCTAGAGGTACTTGGAACCTCACTTTTGTCCAGGAAACTTGCCACATCAAAGGCATCTTCAAAAAGGATCTGAAAGAAAGCACAGCACTTCATGCATGGGAAATAACTTGACAATTTCACACTTGCTCTGGGCTGCTGGGGGAGAGGTGAGTGGAAAGGCTCTCTCTTTACACCACTCCCCAGAGCTGGGGCCCGCACCCAGGGGCTCTGCTCGGTGTTCTTCCTAGGGGGTGAATGCTAAACTCTAGAATGCCCAGGACAAACTGCCAACCCTTGAGGTGGCAGAGAGGGACAGGAAGAACTGGAGATTGTGACTTCTCTTGCCAAAGAAGGTAGAAGCTCATGTGTGAGATGCAATTACCAGAACCTCAGTTTACCACTGAGAAGAAGCTCATCAAAACCTCCCAAGGTGGACAGATTACTGGAGCCCAGGGTCCACAGTCTAGCAGTCTCATGCCAGAGCAGCTGTATCCAGAGGGTCAGAAAGGTTCTGGGTTAGGCTGCAGGCAGGCCAACTCCCAGCCCTGCTTCTCGCTAGCTGTGTGACCTGGGACAAGTTACTTCCTTTCACAAATCCTCCTCTATAGAACAGGAATCACATCAGTGTCTACTCATAGGGCCATTCCAAGAATTAAGTAAGATAATGTATGTGATATATCTGGTTACATCTGAACATTATAGGTCTGCTTTATAACAGACCTACCTGGCACATAATTGAACATTATCTGCTTTATAAGAGACATATATGTTCATTGTGGAAATTTTGGAAAATAGAAACAGATCAAGAAAATCAGAATCACTGAGAAACAAACCCACCCAGATATCCACTGTTGCCACACTGATCTAATCTCTCCAGTCACTTCCCTAGGTATAAAATGTCATATATTTCCAATTTGGAATATTGCCATATAGACAGTTTTTCATTCTGCTTCCCCCTAATTTGTTAGAGAATATTAAATATGTTACAGAAACATGATTTACACTTACTTGACTGCCAGATTTAGCAAATACAAATAGGAAATGCCAAGTTATGTTTTGAATTTCAGATAAAGAATGAATAATTTTTAGTATAAGAATGTTCCAAATAGTGCATGGGACGGTTTTGTATTAAAAATTTAACTGGACATGCTTTGCTGTAACCGACATTTCCTTTACACTGGCAGTCACCCCTCGGAGAGGAGAGGAAGTCCTCTGACCCTGAGTTGGCAGGTACTGGCAGGTTCTGCCAGGGTCTGTCTTCTCCTCTCCCCTCCCTGTGAGACACAGCTCTTCCAAAAAGATTGGTGTCTGCCCTTTCTGTCTTCTTTCAATTTGCTTCCCTGGAACTGAATCCCTCGGGACTCTGGCCCCTCTCCTAGTTTTCCGGACATTTTCTTTTATCCTTTTACTTGATATCTCTTTGGTCATTTCAAAAAGGGTTTAGAAAGGGGCCACAGAAAGGCCTGTGACCCAGGGTCCATCAGCCCTGAAGCCCATCAGTTTCATGTTCCTCCCTGGCAGGCCTGGAACAGGGACCCAGACATGAAATTCCTTCCTTAAGCAATCAGCCCACCAAAGTCACTGGCCACACATCGTGCTCACCTGTGCAAATCCCCTTCCCACGCCAGCCTGAGAGGGGACCCTCCAGACCAGGTTCTGCAGCCTTTCCAGAGTGCCACCACACCCACAGGGCAGATTCTCTCTGAACTGAAATGGAGCAGTCCAATGCCTCCCAAGCCCATCAGACCCTGCTGCTGGCCTTTAACATAGCAGTTCTGCCGCAGAACCTCTCCAGGTGGACCAGGGGCTGCAGCGGTTACACTGCACAGCAGGAGTAACTGTGGCTTTGTCTTGCCTCAGGCATGGGAGTTCTCTGTTCTGCCTACCTTATCACCCAGCCCTGGCCTGGCCTAAATCTGGGCACAGCGGTGCACACAGAGCCCTGCTTCTGGGCACAGCTGAGGGAATCTGCTGCCAGCTTCCTTTAATATCCAAGGAATATCATCAGCCCATAGGCCTCCCTGAAAAACCCAGAAAAGCTGTTTCCATGATTTGGAGACATTAGATTCTGGTTGTCTTCTCTTTGGATGTGTTCTTCCTGAGGAAGTGTTCATGCTGGCACAGTCAAATTTGACAGAATTGCTCAGGCATTTGGTAGATGCTGTCATGAATCACTTACTGATAGGGATAGGTTCTGAGACATGTATCCTTAGGCAGTTTTGTCATGTGAACATCATGGAGTATACTTATGCAAACCTAAATGGCACATATACATTTATTTATTTACTTATTTGAGACGGAGTTTCACTCTTGTCACCCAGGCTGGAGTGCAATGATGTGACCTCAGCTCACTGCAACCTCCACCTCCCAGGTTCAAGCAATTCTCCTGCCTCAGCCTCCTGAGTAGCTGGGATTACAGGCGCTCACCACCATGCTCGGCTAATTTTTGTATTTTTAGTAGAGATGGGGTTTCATGATGTTAGCCAGGCTGGTCTCAAACTCCTGACCTCAGGTGGTCCACCTGCCTCGGCCTCCCAGGGTGCTGGAATTACAGACGTGATTATGTGCCCAGCCCATGTATTTATTTATATATATTTTTGCATATGGAAAACCCCAAATCCAAGTTCCATTACTGAATATCAGTTGTTTCCCTGTACTTGATCTGCAATGTGAATATCAAGTGCCATATATCAGATTTCCATATATGCTCCATTATCATCTATGGGACTACCATTGTCTATGTGGTCTGTTGTTGCCCAAAACATCTTCTGGCAGCCCATGACTGTGTTTTCCATTCGTTTTCTTCGTGTGAGACTCCAGGGCTTGGCACTTTGGGGCTAGAAACACATCTGCTTGGCTGGCCTTTCAGACATGCCTTGGGTGTGAGGTCCTAATCATCCTTCTTGAACTATCATGGACCAGAATGCACATCTTCTCATGGTGGACCCAACATCAGAGGAAAATGAGATCAGAAGCCACAGTCTGGTGGACCAATGTGTGGAGGTCGGGCAAGGGACCAAGGTTGTAGCTGGTAGACCATTGCTTATCTGCACCAGGAATTTCCTTCAATAGGACCCACTGCACCAGCCACCAGGGAAGTTTGTTAAAAATGCAGATCCTGAGGCTCCACCCTCAGGGGCTCTGATTCGGTGGGTCTGGGATAGCAGCCCAGCACCTGACTTTTTTTGTGTGTGTGTGAGGTAAAGTCTTGCTCTGTTGCCCAGGCTGGAGTGTAGTGACACAATCATAGCTCACTGCAGCCTTGACCTCCTGGGCTCAAAGAATCCTCCTGCCTCAGCCTCCTGAGTAGCTGGGACTACAGGTATATGCCACCACACCTCTCTACTCTTTGAAATTTTTAGTAAAGGTGCAGTCTCACTATGTTGTCCAGGTTGGTCTCAAACTCCTGGGGTCAAGCAATGCTCCCACCTTGTTTGGCTTCCCAAAGTGCTGGGATTACAGGCATGAGCCACCGCGCCCGGCCCGGCACCTGACTTTTAAGAAACTCCACAGGTGATTCAGTTGAGAAGCATCAGGGAAGATAATGGGGGGTTGACCATCAACAGGTGACCAAAGGGCAGAGTGACATGAAAAAATGTGTGATGAGAGAGATACAGTCACTGACACGGGAACTGCGTGTTCTAGGCAAGTCACGCTGCTGGCTAGGCCTGCAAACTGGAAGGACAGGAATGGGTGACATCGCTGCTGTTCTCCAGGCTTGGGCCTGATAGCTGAGGAAGCTTCCAAAAAAATGGGGGCATTCCAGGGCTGTAACCCCAGGGTCAGGGGCAACGGGAGGCTCTCTGGCTCTAAGACACCACAGAGACATTGGGAAACTAGCATGTCGTATTCTCAAAGGCGCCCAGACTGAGAAGCATATGGAAAGTCAGGTCAATGGGGTGGCGTGTGTCAGGAGGAAACCATGGATGCTAAATGTCCACTAAGCACAGGCGTGTGCAGAGAGCGAATCGTCTGCCCCTAGGCTAGAGGAGCCAGCGCAGCCTGGACCGTGTGGTAGAGCAGAGATCTGAGCCCCTCCTCATTCTCAAAGACCAGCTGTGGGCCCACTTTTATCTCCGTGCTGGGCGGCCTCAGATGCTACCTGCTTTGCAGACCATGGCCACGGCCGTTCTGACTAGCGGACTGAACCCTGAGAAATGCATGCGCAGTGGCAGCTGTGGTGCCCTCCCGTTCACAGAGCGGCCAGGTGCTCTTTGGGGTGGGAACCCACTGCCTTTCAAGGGCTGGGCCTGATTGGTCTAAGTGTGATCCTCTCTATGGCCACTCATTGGCTCAGCAGGCTGGCAATTTGGCCAGTTCTGGCCAATGAGAGGGGAGGAGCTGTTCTGGAAAAGTTCTTCCTGAACCCTCAAGAAAGGGATTTCGTAGGAAGTCTGTGTCTTACCGGAAGTAAAGGAGGAAGAATGACAGTTCGATTGCTCTGGCTGCTATTCCACAGCCACAGGGGCCGGGGGAGGTGGGGAGGGGAGGGAAAGATGAGAAGCCGAGCAGAGCCAAGGGAGGCCTGAATCCACGGGCACATGGTGAGCTCCTCCGCCTGCCGCGGACCTCCTGGGTGTGAGGAGTGCATTTCTTCATGGTTTCATAATCCAGGCCCTAGCAGCCCAAAGAATCCCAACGGAGACAACCTCCCACGCCTTCTCTTCTGCCATTGCAGGGCAAGGCCAGGAAACTAACCGCAGAAAAAGAAATGCTGTTCCGCGGCCCCGGGGATTATTGGGAAAATCAGAAACCTACCTTGGGAGCCAGAAGGCAAACTGTACCTCCGACCTGCGAAATGCAAAGGTCTGGCATCCCCGGGCGAGGGCGAGGGTAATTCCTGCGCCCCATCCACACCACCCCGGCGGGCCTGCTCACCTCCTCGGGCGTGGAGACCAATGAGCAGCTGGCCCCCTGACTGTCCACGCCGCTGTCCTTCACGCTGCCCTCAGCACAGGCCGCCTCCTGGCAGGCCCCCGCCATGCTCGCCGCGTCACGGTGCTTCTGTGCCCAGGCCTGCCGGAGGCTGGCCTTCCTCTCCTCCGAGAGGTTCTGCCACAGGTGGGAGATGGCTGCGGAGACGATGGGCAGAGCCACCTCTTGCAGGGAGACGATCCCGCTGCCAGTCAGAAGGTCCATCGTCTGTTTGTAAAAGTTGAGGTACCTGGAACAGAAGTGGCGCCGTCTCGCAACCCTGAAGCTCCCTCTCCAACCCTCTGAAGCTCCATCTCCTGGGGATTCGGTTCATGGCGTGGACCCCAGCACACAGGCTTGGCTAAGGCGCCTCCACGCACCCGGGCTTAGCCTTCTCTGACTCTGCACGCCCCTAGCTCTTGGAGAGCAGCAGCCTTCTTGAGGACCATGAAGGACATAGCCGTCGGCTTTGGGGCCCCTCCCCAAGTTCTCCCAGTCCCTGCGCCATGAAGTCCTCTGTGTCATAGAGAAGATATGAGGCATAGCTGCCTCAGCTCTCATCCTAAGGGAATATTCTTTAACACTCTGAACCCATGAATGTGCTAGTATGATAGGACTCATGCTTTAACCTTCAGCCCGAAGTCAGGCTGGGCTGTGGAGAGAGCCTCCTGCTCTTAAGCCAACTCTTGAGGATGCCAACATGGCTGCCGAGAAGCCTTGAGTCTGTGGAGGAGGCAGTGGCAAGGGACATCTGAGCCAGCCATTCGCCATCTTTCCTACTATAAGATCAGTGCGGACTTGGGGGATATGTGTTTTGGGGGAGAGAGGGGTTAGCCCTCATAATCACCATCAGCTGTGCCCCCCACAAGGCACCCCAAATAAACACCCAGTCTAAGTAAAAACACTGTATGATAAGCTATGATAATGTAGCTTGGAGACTATTTCTCTAGCGTCTCTGCCAGTCCTGTCTCTGCGTCCCTCCCATGTGAAAATCCTGGAGAGTACGTGATTCAGGGCCTGGTCTGAACCATGCATTCCAGCTGCGGTGCACAGCTGCAGCATACCCCAGCCAGGGCCTCTGTCCCCTTCCCCATGGGAGGGAGCTCCATGGGTGCACAAAGCTACCCCACCCGGTTCACACCGTTCAAATTCCATGAGGTCAGGCGACAAAGTGCCTGGAGAGTATAAGAGCACTTTTTTCTCCTCTTCCTCTTCCTCCTCCTCCTCCTCTTCCTCCTCCTCCTCCTCTTCCTCCTCTTCTTCCTCCTCCTCCTCTTCTTCTTGGTATTCCTCTTCCTCATCTTCCTCCTCCTCAGCATCCTTCCTGACTGCCTCAATTGGGTACCAAGGGGAGGAACCATTCTGAGGAAAACTGTTTGAGAGCAGGCTGGGAGAGAAAACAGAAACAGGACAACTATAGCCTCGTATCCCTCATGAACATGGACAAGAAATTCTTAGCAACTTTAGCAAGTGTGTGTGTGTGTGTGTGTGTGTGTGTGCGCGCGTGTGTGTAGGTGTACACTTCATGACCAAATGAGCTTTTTCCTAGGAATGCAAGATAACTGGTTCAACATTTGAAAATCAATCACTGCAATTTACTGGATCAACAGACTCCAGAAGAAAAACCTCAATAGATGCAGAAAAAGCATCTAACAAAATCAACAGCCATGCATGATAAAAACTCTCAGCAAACTAGGAATAAAAGGCAACTTTGTTAACCTGATAAAGGGTATCTCCAAAAAACCTACCGCTAACATCGAGCTTAATGGCAAAAGATAGTTTCCCCTCTGGATCAGGGATAAGATGAGGCTGTCCACCCCTACTACTTCTATTCAAAATTGTTCTGGAGGTTCTAGCCAGTCCAATAAGGCAAGCAAAAGAAATAAAAGGAATATAGATTGCAGCATAAAAAACAAATCTGTCTTTATTTGTAGACAGTGTAATTATCTGTGTAGAAAAATCTCAATCTACAAACATGTCATTAGAAAAAAGAAGGGAATTTAACAAGGTTGCGGGAGACAATGTCAGAATATAAAAATAATATTGCTGCATTGTAGCAATGAACAATTGAAAATTGAAATTTTAAAAAGCATCGTTTACAATACCACCAAAAAAATGACATACTTAGGTTTAAACCAAAAGCTCAATCTATTTAAAAAAGGATAAATTGGACTCATTAAAATCTGCAAATTCTGCTCTTCAAAAGACACCTTGAAGCGAATGAAACAATAGGACACCATTTGGAAAAGTCAGGCCTTGCACCCAGGATCTCTTCATACGTGTAAGAATAATCCCCAAGGCACCACGTTGAGTTAAAGCAAGCTCGGCCAGGCACAATGGCACACGCCTGTGATCCCAACACTTTGGGAGGCTGAGGCGGGTAGATCACTTGAGGTCAGGAGTTTGAGACCACCTTGGCCAACATGGTGAAACCCCACCTCTACTAAAAATACAAAAACTAGCCGGGCGTGGTGGTGGGTGACTGTAATCCCAGCTACTCAGGAAGCTGAGGCAAGAGAATCACTTGAACCCGGGAGGTGGAGGTTGCAGTGAGCTGAGATCATGCCACTGGACTCCAGGCTGGGTGACAGAGCAAGACTCTGTCTCAAAAAAACAAAACAAAAACAAAGAACCACGAGATCATAAAAGTACATTTCTCAAATCAGTCTCTCCTTCAAAGTGTGAATGTGACATATTAATAATGTTCCCCTTTCAGCATTTGTGACACCTGGGTGTACCATGTTTTCTTTTCCTTGCTGAAGTCTAATTTAGCTTCTCTTAGATTCCTAGGAGTCTTACAGTATAGACTGAGATTTGTATTTTCCTTATTTTCATATGTATCCTCCAAGAAAACCATTAGTTGTGGCTTTAAAAAATACATATAGAAAAAGTTTTAATATAATATAAGCACTGTGGCCTTATTTCTCTAAAGAATAATGTGCAACATTAAAAAAAAAACTTGATGGATTTTTCCTGAAAATTAACACTGATTTTCTTTAAGTTCTGAGACAATATATGTTTTTAGGCTTTCGTGTATTTTCTGCATCTTCTGCAATAATCATGGATCATTTTTATAACTGGGAAAAGATTGAATGTATGTTACTAGAACAAAAGAGAAAGGAATGGTCTCCAGTATATGCCCATTTTGAATGATGAACAGCAGCCCCGACGGTCCTGCAGGCTGGAGGGGAAGGGTGAGTTGTTACCAGACAGCACTGATGGGTGTCAGAACACAGCAGGTCCCTAGCTTCCTGGGGCTTGCGGTTTCTTACCTGTCATTTGCAGAATACATGCTGGCATATTCTTTCTTGACCTCCTCTAAGCTGCTTGCATGCCCATCCTCCAGGTTGAAGGATGCTATTGGGGAGTTCAAGGCCAGGAACACAAAGGGAAAAGTCAGGCCTCTGTTGAGTCTTTCCCACCCTTCTGGCCCAGGTGGGCCATGGGTGGGACCCTGAGCTCTCCAGGGTGAGCATTAGGGAGACCAGAGCTCAGTTTCTCCTTCTAGGTATGAGGGGAGAGCCTTGGACAAGCACCAGCCCACTTTTTCTCTGGCCTCTGAAGATGAGATCAGGTGCCTTCAGCAGTGCCCCAGTAGGGAACTCATCAAAGTCACCTGGCCTGGTGACTCTGGCCAGTCCTGCTGGACTGTGGGCTCCCTAAGGAGAGGGACCTTTAACATTGGTCCAAGCACAGCGCCTGGCACACAGCAGGCCCTCAATAAATATTCATTGATTCATTGTAACCCAATCTCTGTTTTCAACAGAAAAACTGGACTAGTTTTCTCCAGGGAGGGAGATGTGGTTGGCAAGTAGGAATCCATTACCTTTGAGCTTCAGCAGATTATCCAGGGTTTGCTCCAGTTCCGGAATATGACTCCTCGCCTTATTCAGAACCTGCCACTGAGGAAAGGCAGAGACAATGCTAAAGTCAGCCTCTCACTGCAGAGACTGGTTTTGTGGACTCAGGAATTCCTTCCCAGGGCTGAGGCCATGCTCCCTCAGATGCAAAGTTACATCCCTTAACTTTGTCAGTAAAAAGAATAGGAAGTTTGTTCTGATGCACAGAAGCCAGGAAGTTTTGTTTGTAGCCTAGAAATGGGTTCTCACCAAAATGCCAAAGTATTTGGAAAGAGTTAAGCTTTGTTCAGCAAGTTGCTAGCGCTGCAGAAAGGCAAACAACTATGGAGACAGCTTGAAGGTGGAATAAGGAGTAATGGAAGAGGCACGGTCTGCATGAATGTCAGCCTTGCACAAGGCACAGAGCTAGACTTCAGCTCAGTTGTAACATTGTGCAAGGGGCTAGTTAATATTAAATGTCCTGGGCCGGGCGCGGTGGCTCAAGCCTGTAATCCCAGCACTTTGGGAGGCCGAGGCGGGTGGATCACGAGGTCAAGAGATCGAGACCATCCTGGTCAACATGGTGAAACCCCGTCTCTACTA